CAAGTTTTACATAAAGAACATAGTATTCTTTAACAATTTAAGTCCTCTAATAAAATATAATGGAATCATACAATCAACGCATTCACATCAAAGAAACTCAATTTCGTACGAATTTACGAAGTTAAATTTGCGTAACAATAATTAATATTATATTACTATTAACATTAATTAATATTACTTGTTAATATTAAATATTTTTTCTTTAGTTGCTATTTTTTCTACTTGCATAATTAAAATCATAAATAGCAATTAAACATTTATGTTAAAGAATAAATTATTCGATATTAAGCCGAGTGCGCATAATTTAGAAAGCCGAATATGACCCCGGTATTTCTGATTTTCTCCGTGCCACTTAAGGGTTACGCTTAATTACGATATCTAGATCCAGGAAGAAGTGGCGGAGACCCTCAGGGCCGAAGCACAAAGAGACCGCACAATTAAGACGACCGTAAAACCGACGACGGAAAAAGCGCTGAAAGTTGAGGACATAAAGAAATTCGAGGACATGCCGTACGAAGATGATCTCAGCGACGAGGAAAACGAGAACGATGAGTACGACGAGAACGACGAGAACGACGAGAATGACGACGATCTCGACGACGACGAAGGAGTAATGATGCAGTGCCCTGATTACTGCAAATGCGCCGGGCAATATGCCTCCGCTATGTCAGCAACGTATGTTTCTTAATCGGATCATTATATAACTGAATAATGTCTCTTAATGACGAAAGATAAAACGTCCACTGATAAACCGTTTCCTATGCAGAGAGCATGATAATAATATATTTTTTCCTTCACTTGTGAGAAATTTTTTCATGCAGTTAAAATTAATCATTCTTTTTCGTCTTATCGCGTGTTTTGACCTCTCCAACATAATTGTTCACGCAGATGTGCGCAAATGGATGAATGAAATGAATAAAAAATTACGACGTAATCGCGTTTGAACATAATAGCGAATAATTTTCCTGTCATAGTGATTTTCTGTGTACGTTCTTTGCTTCAGAATTAGAATATTAATACATTTAATATCTCAGCTATGTGGAATGATCTTCTATCGACTTTCCACTATAGAGCGATCGAATTAAACTCATTAACGGTGGTCACGTGATTAATATTTACCGTAACAATCGTACATACAGTACAAAATATGCCATTTTCATATCCTTCTCTTTTCATTTATAGATGCGTGAAATTAGTTGATGGGCAATCCTTCGCGCCGGGCATCGCGCATTTGCGAATTGAAAACGCCGGCCAGATTCGTCTGGGACCGAATGCTCTGCGATCTCGCGGTCTTCAACAATTAGAAACCATCACCATCAGCGACACGCACATAATCGAGTTAGACCGCTCGGCCTTCAACGGCCTCACATACCTATTCACCGTGAACTTGACGCGGAACGGTCTTCAGGATATTCATCCAAACACTTTCCAGAACAACACGCAACTCGGCCTGCTCACGATCGCCGGTAATCCGCTGAAGCACATGCTAGACTCAAAGACCAGACACTATCTGCTGCACGCATCATCGATGACCGAACTTGACTTTTCGAATAATGGAATAACGAAGCTGAAACGCACTGCCTTCGTTAAAATGCCTGACCTCAATTTCATCAATTTACACGGCAATAAGTTGAAAAATATCGACTTCAGGCTCTTCGATGAGTTGGACTCGCTCATAGATGTGAATCTCTCAGATAATCTTCTGGAAGATTTGCCGCTTGGGTTGTTCGTTGATAAATACATCCAAACTCTTAACATCGCTGGTAAGAATAATGATCATACATCGTAATTTACAATTTAAATTAGAAATTAAGATGCGATTTGAGAGAACAATTGATTCCTAAATTAGATGAGTGAGCAGAGTAAAGATGAACAAATTTGTTATTTAAAACACTTGAACTTATTGTGCGATGTCATTTAAGTAGAGAATTAGAACAAATAATTAAATTCAAACTACTGGAACCGTCAATAATTGATTAAATTGAAAAGCTTCTGATTAACACAGCAAAAATTGTTTGTAGGAAATAATTTTACGACGTTGGAGGACATAAGTTCTCATGAGATGACGGTGCTCGATGCTTCGAGAAACAAGATCAAGGCGATCGGCAAAGAGGATCTGGAGGGTCTTCCATCGTTGGAACAATTACACATCAGATCAAACAATTTGAAGAGGATCCATCAACACGCTTTCAGCAAACTCTACGAGTTAACGTATCTGGATATCAGCGATAACAGGCTCACGTCGTTGACCGACCATCACTTCAAAGACATTGCAAAGTTACAAATTCTACTGATGAATGACAACCCCGCTTTGCAGACTCTGCCGATTTTCAAAACCTACGGTTACACTTACAACTCATTTAGGTAAAATATCTCAGCTTATCGCTGCATTCAAGAAGTAAGAAGCGAATGAATCGTGTAATAATTATCGTTCTTCAACTGCAGCATCTACCGTTTCGAATGCGCGAACTGCGGTCTGGATAATCTTGATGCAGAGACGTTCGAGCAAATGCCGACGTTGACTCGATTGAATCTTGCGAAGAATCGTTTGACCAGCATACCCGCTGGACTCCTCAATCTTCCGTCTCTTCAAGAATTGGATCTTTCCGACAATATTATCACCTTTCTCGAGCCAGACATGTTCCACGGCGCCAAAAGCTTGGACAAACTGAGTCTCGCCCGCAATCCGCTGAGGACATTGCAAGTGGAGCCGTTCCTCAACTGTCCCGATCTCAAAAAGCTGGACGTGAGCCATTGCAACTTGGAGCGCGTCTGGAGCGAAGCTAGAGTGCCGTTGCCGAATCTACGGTGAGTATCAAGCTATCGGTTAGAAAAAATTTTCCATGTGAATTCAAATTGAAAAATAACTTTCAATTCTCTCTTCAATGAAATTAGGAGTGTGCACATTGTCGCAACGTGATTAAATCTTTCGCAGTTAATAACGAAATAATTCTGTAGCTGTTACAATATTGACCGATGTGCTTCATCTTTTCATTCTTCAGGTTCCTGTCGGTTCGCGAAAATCTTTTACGGCGAATCACCGTCGAGGAGCTTCAAGCTACGCCGAAACTCACTGGTCTAGATCTGTCGCGCAATCCCTTGAATTGCGACAATGAATTCACCGAAGCTGTACAATATCTCACCGATAACGGTATTGTGCCGACGGAAACATTCAGGTGAATATTCAAGTTCAATCCAAAACTCGCGTGAAGAGTTTCACCTTGAACTTTCATGATACTCTTACAGTCATGTCAACGATTTTGAATTCAACATCGAGAACGATGCCGATTCCAAGGGCATCAGCGAATGGACGGATCTAGCGAAGATAGTTTGCGATGGAATCGACGCTGGCCCACCGAGCAGACCGATTCCTAAAAAGAGCGAGCAGCCGAAAGTTCTTCTAGGACTCGACGTTCCAGAGAACTCAGACTCAGATACCCTGAGAAACGAGCTTGATAAGGACGAGGTAAAGTAAACAATTCATATTTGTCAAAACGCGCTTTAGAAAGACTTTTTACTCTTCCACCTAATTTTCCAATATTTTATAGTTTTCAATTATTCAATAATGTCGTCATGTACCTATCAATTTTACAAACTTAAAATGATAACTTATTTCATCGTAGAACCTGTTAAAGCTCGAGATCGATCATGGAATGCGGGAGGTCGAGGATCCACGACTTCTGGAAGATCAAGAATACGAGGAAGACTTCACGATTACGGAATATCACTCTTGGTACAACCTGAGGCCCGGCTTTAAGGTCTGGCTGGTTTCCGGCACGGTTCTATCCGTTCTAGTCGTCTTCCTGCTGGTAATGCGCATTGCTTGCTTCTTGGCAAACAAACGTGGACGAGGTCCCGTCCTCAGGCCACCTATGATCCTACGTCAAGGTCTGATCGACAACAAGAACTGCGGTTTGGTGTACAAACCGCTGCACGAAGAAATAGCAACGCCTCATATGCCAAAACGAGGTAGCTTCTACTCAAGCAGTACCTTCCATTACGACAAAATCGTGCCAGAGAGTGTATAGAGATAAATTCCTGATTAATCAAGTGGCCAATTACGGGGCGATCGGTTGACGTGATTGGTCGTGGATGCGGGCCGCCGAAGACTACTCTCACAAACCAAGAGAAATTCTTTACAGACTGTTATCGGGTGATCGACGGGAGCGGATTCGAGAAAATATGTAGACTCGAGAGAGAAAATACATTCGAGAAAATAGATTCAAAAAAATAGATTCAAAAAAAAATAGACGAGCGAGTAACTTTATCGCGAAAATATATATCTTTAGTTTCCAATCAAAATGATTAATTTCTTTTCTTTTGGTTCGATCATAGCTTGCTATATTGTAAGCTTGCGTAAACTGATTTCCATTGAATCAATATAAAAAATGGACGAAAGTCCAGATAATAATAATTATGAGCATTTAATTCGATCTCGTAGAAATGCGATTTACCGAAACGCACATTTCACGGGCTACAAAAAAACGTGATTAATAGAAGTGTTTGTTGTTTGTATTAACGCGAACATGATGCCTGATAGAAGTAAGATATAATCGACATTCACAATAACTTAGATATAAGCAGCAGTGCTATCTTATAATCGATGAGTATAAATTTTTTTGTAAGAAAGTTTAGATCACTTTTGTGTAGAGAGCTACGAAAACTTTCAACAAAGTACTTATTATTTATAAACTTGAAGCTTACAGCAATTTCCCGTCGGATAAACATACTGGCCGACGAATTTTTAAACATAAAAATAAAAAATGCCTAGATGTATTTAATTTAATGAAAAAAATAAAATAAAGAGTTTACATAAAAAATTAAATAAAGAGGTACAATTTAACGATAATTTCAATATCGCAGAAATTGTGCAAAAAGCGATTGGTGATGGACGAACGAATGAATTACGTATCATGGATGTACAATTTTATATAAAACAATAAATTAAGAGCTTCCAGTAGAACGCCAGGTTATAGTAATATATATCAATAGTATCGTAAAAAATGAACAGCTTCTAATTACTTAAAGTGATAATATCTTTATCCGACAAAGACCCAGTAACTTATATACAAAACTAACATTTTGTAAAACGAACATTGTGTCGTTACGCCAACTCTATTACGCTACTATATACATATATATTATACTATATATATATGTATACTATATAGATATATATATATGTATATATATATACATATATATATATGTGCTATATATGTATATGCTGTAAATAACAAATATCGTTTTAATAAAATTATAATGAAAACTAAACTGCAGTTTGTTCTCTGTCCTAAATAAGTATGTTACAAATACGAACGAGAAAAAAAAACAAATGTTAGTAGTCAAGAACGATACTGTGACAAGAAAGAAAATAAATTTGCAAGTAATTATATTCAATTAAGATTCAATATAAAAATCAATCGTATCCCAGTAAACAGAAGCCAACAGTAACGTAACGTCAGTGTTGTAATTTCCCACTCAACAATGTAACTGCAATATAATACGTAACAATTATATTGTTGAGAGGGAAATTATAATATTATTGTTATGTTACTTTGTGTCTACTGGGATACAATGATTAATATGTCTGTAGAGATAGATGACATAGAATGCAATGAGTGCGATTGAATAATTTCTATCATAACAAGACGCGATAAATTTATGCAAAATAAGTCAGGCCAGAATCACTGACGTACGTTGAACAGCATATTGTAATACGAGATACATTAGAAAACTTATTTAAAAAATCCATAACCGCGACTTTAAAAAAAGAAAAAAATAACCATACTTTAATCTACATATTATATACATGTTGTATTTAATAAATTAAATGTTTTAAATAATATTTTGCTTATGTATAACATAATATTTTATCTTAAAAAATATTTAAAAATATTTTTGCCATATAAAAAAAATCAAGCATACAGATCAATAATTAATTGTTAAATAATTGACTTAATTATTCAATCGAGTCATTCAAAACACAAATAAATTTAATAAATTTCCTTCCATTTTAATAAATTTTGGCATAAAAGTTTAAAGTTATGCGTAACACTGCGCGTTTAAGATTTAAATCTTCATATTTCAACTTCAGATACTGAGATTTCAGTCATTCATTTTTCTAACAATTCGAATGGTAAACAACATGCGATCTACAAGACTCTTGATAAAATTCTATCGACATAATCCTGCCCACATACGAATACGAACACATACAATAAAGTTGTGTCAGACTTAAGCGGTAAATATGCTGTAGTAAAAGAGGGGGAATATAAACTGGTCGTCGTGTCAAGTCGAGAGTGAGGCACGAGAGCTCATAGAGAACGTGACTTCGTAACATTTTCAGTGAAAGAACGTATTGCAATACCGTTCTAACCGGCGCTACTGAATAATTTTTCGATAAAATCACATCTAATCACTAAAATGCTGCCGAGACGACGCGTCATTGATCTTTTGCAAGTCATTTCATCTCAATCGTAAGTGTATTACTATTTATCAAGAATTTCCATACAAAAAATAACAATGTTATCTAAGTGCGAGGTATTTTTAACCGCATGTAACATCATAGAGATTAATCTCTATGATGATAAAAGATAAATTTAATTGCAAAACACATAGCATCTTCGTTTATCTAAAGCATCAATATAGACAACCATAAGTGAGATCAATATAGACAACCATAAGTAATAATAATTGAAAAACCGTAGTCTCTTATTTCATTAAAATTATAAAAATAATTTCCATCAACTTTTCGAAAATATTATATAAATATGTTAGAAAAAAGTAAAGTCGGTCACGATATCGGTAGAAATTTGTCAGAGAAACCTACATGTGCAGTATTCAGTAAAGAAGTGCATACTAGTTCGATAGCGATGCTCGATAAAACTGATAACAATGCAAAACATAAAAATTTTAAATGTACTTGTTTTGACTTGTGTTTTTAGATGCAGATGTCCAGCGCATGGAAATCCAGGAGCTACCAATGTACAGAAACATGGGATTGCTCGAAGCACCGCGGCAAACGTTACGCCTAATAAAGAATATGCTTTCGAGGTAAAATTGTGAGAAAAGTTTACACAAAGAAAAAAAATTATTAAGTCACGTGTATGATAATATGTCGATTACATCGTATACTTTAAAATTATGAAATCGAAGACCTTCCGCGTATTGAGGAAAACTAAGATAAGGATTGTTTTTAAAGTAGCTCTATTCGCTGTCGCATTTTTGAGTTTCTGATAATCTGATAACCTGAATATTGTAATAAACCATATCAGATGCGTGATTTATATAATGCTCTAATAAATTATTTCTATAAACTATTTCTAAAAACATTCACTCATATAAAATAATACGTGTTTTGCAAAAAATATTTTAAGTGATGCCAAAGTGTAAAAAATTAGAAAAAAATGTTAAATATTCTGTAATCGCTTATTTTCTTGTGCTATTTTAAAATATTTAGTAATGTAATAGTAACAATTTTAATTTATATATTATGTTATTTAGTAAAATTTATATAAAATTTTAGATGGCTTGTTCTACGATAAGATATGGAATAGGTGTTACAAGAGAATTGGGGATGGACATACAAAATATGGGAGCAAAGAGAACATGTCTGATGACCGATCCAAATTTGGTAAACTTAGCTCCTGTAAAAGTTGCTATTGACAGTCTCTCAAAACATGGCATTCAATTCGAGATTTACGATAAAGTACGCGTGGAACCAACTGAACAAAGTTTACAAGACTCGATCGAGTTTGCCAAGCGTGGAAATTTCGACGCGTTTATAGCGGTATGTATGCAAGAAATACAAATACATTAAGATACGATTACATCGATTAATTTTTATAGTTTTGATGTAAAAAATTATAAGCGTATGTATTTTATTGAATTAATAAAGAATTATTATTTAAAGCTGACGACGGATAAAAAATTGAAGAAAAATTATTTGTGCAATAAGCTTGCAAATTATAAATTTTAATGACTAGGTTGGCGGTGGTTCTGTGATGGACACTTGCAAAGCAGCAAATTTATACAGTTGTGACCCAAACGCCGAGTTTTTAGACTATGTAAACGCACCGATCGGAAAAGGAAAACCGATTCAGATTCCTTTAAAACCCCTTGTCGCCGTTTCTACGACTTCCGGTACCGGTTCTGAAACAACTGGAGTATCTATTTTCGATTATCGGCCACTGAAGGCCAAAACGGGGATCGCGAACAGGTAATGCTCATTGTGTAATGTTAAATACAAAAACATACAAAATTAATTCGTTGACACTCTTATCTAGAGCTCTACGTCCAACATTGGGAATTATCGATCCTCAACACACCCTTAGTTTACCAGAAAGAGTATGCGCGTATTCTGGTTTCGATGTGCTCTGTCATGCTTTAGAATCTTTTACGGCGATACCCTACACAGAAAGGACTCCATGCCCACCAAATCCGATTTTGAGATAAGCTTATCAAGGTAGCAATCCTGTCAGCGATGTCTGGGCGCGATATGCTCTACAAGTTATGCGCAAGTAATAAACCACTCAATTATCTATGCAAAATATCCTAAATGTCAGCGTACTTATTTTAAACTATTAAATATTTGCAATTAAAGTAAAAAAACAATACTTATTTTCTCATTAAACTAAAAAAAATTATGTAATATCAAAAATAAAAATATCTTAGCAAATAAAAAATAATAAAAGTTGATTTTTTAATATAATTTTTTATCAATTTTAAATTAACATGAATTAAATTAACATTAAGAAACTAAAAACTTTAAAAATAGTAATTAAATAGTGAAAAAAATTGATTTTAACTTCGTTAAAAAAAGTACACATTTTTTAAAACATAAATCAATAAAAAATGTGTATCAATAAGGCTGAATTTTTTGCACAGATACTTTGAGCGAGCAGTTTACAATCAAGATGATTTGGAGGCAAGAAACCATATGCATTTAGCGAGTACAATGGCAGGCGTTGGTTTCGGAAACGCCGGTGTTCATCTTTGTCACGGACTTTCGTATCCTATCAGTGGAAACGTTAGAAATTTTCAACCAAAGGTACTTATAAGGTTAAATTTGCATATAGTATTTTATAATGCATGAATATTATATATATTAACTCATACTCAAAATTAATTTAATTATTCCACTAAACTTGAACGAATTTATCCTGATATCTTCAACTAATGAAACTAATGAAAGCCTTCAATCAATAATCATATAGCGATATAATTATAAAGTGCATTTTCCATCTCTATCACTTGTTATAAATATTTTTTAAACCAAGTTTTAATCATCCTATAATATATAAAAAATTGGATATTTAAAAATTCTTTATATTTTCTTATCTAAATTAATGATTTTTATCTGAATTGTTATATTTCGTCTTATTTAAGGGTTACAGCAATGATCACCCCATCGTTCCTCACGGCTTATCCGTGGTGATTTCCGCCCCAGCCGTGTTTTCTTTTACGGGAAACGCATGTCCAGAGAGACATCTGGAAGCTGCGGAACTGCTTGGTGCAGACGTTACGAATGCTAAGCGGGCTGACGCCGGCCAAATTTTGGCCGACAAGGTTAAAGAATACATGCGCCTTATGAAAATCGAGAACGGTTTATCAGAGCTCGGATTTAAGAAAGAAGACATTCCTACTCTAGTTCAAGGAACATTGCCTCAGGTAAATGACACTCAACATCCCATACTGTTTATTAAATGGAAAAATGTAATAACATCAGTTATAATAATTGATTTGATATTCTCTATTTTTATTTTTTTAGCATCGCATCACAAAACTGGCACCTCGCGAACAATCTGAAGAGGACCTCGCACAATTATTCGAAAATTCATTTACAATCTACTAATAATGAAGTTAATATTTCAATAATTGTAATATATATAAATATATATAAATATATATAAATATATATATATATATATATATATATCTAGAATAATATATAAATATATAATATATATATATATATATA